TGAGGGGGGTCCTTTTGCTGAGCCGAGGCCCCCCGCCCTGCAGAAGAGGAGGCCAGAGCTGGCCTGTCCGTTAGCTCCCTTGCTCCTCCATCCCCCTCCCTTAATTTCGGGAGATCTGTGGTCTGGTCATGCTGTAGCACCGATTTCATCAGGTAGCGATGCAGCCGTTGGCCAAAAGTCAGGCTTGACACATCAGCCTGAGTTGCTGTTGGCGCCAGCATTGCCTAGGTGTCTTCCTATTGAAACAAAAAAAAGAAAAATGGTAGCACACGTGGGCGCTCCCTGCCAGCGCTTAGGCTTTTCTTTCCTCATGGCTGTTGGGTGCTGCCTGCCACAGGAAGTTGTGGTGGTTTGATAATGGTCCTAGCTGGAAGCCATGTGTGTTGCTGTACAAACTTAGATTTTGGTTTGCTTGAACTGATAATAACGGTTGTTCCAAGGTTTTCACTACGTTCAGGAATATCTGCAGCTAGGCTTGTGGTTGTTTGCGTGGTACTTCCATGATCAAACACAATCACTAGCTATATCTGAACTCCACTCCGACTGCCTCTAGCTTCCCTTTTTTATTATTACTTAGAATAATCAGCCTGTCTTTTTCTTCCTTCGCCTACCTGACTTCCTTCCTGAAGCTTTGCTTCACTACACTTGACAGTTTTCCTTTGTATTCCTTTTGTCTTACTGGGTTGGTTTTTTTCTTGTTCCAGTGCTGCACTGCACACCTGGAAAAAGTCCATTTCATAAAAAACCTTTCAGTGCTTCCCAGTGTTTAAAAATCAGTTCTTCGTCAAGGCCAAGATACACTTGCCTTACACAAGAGAAGGTTCTTAAGACCTCCCTAGTTTGCAGTTCCCAACAGAATCATGTGAATTGTGAACTTCTGACCTGCTCAGAAAAAAACCCAAATTTAACTTAATAGATTATTATTTTTGATTACAACTAGTTCACCTGCTGCAGAAAGCTTAATCAGAAGAGTGTATTATCCTTAAAGTTTCTCCCTTTGAACAGAAATTGCACAATCCCATTCACTTACTGGTTAATTTAAAGTTAAACTTGTATTTTTTGTCTATCTTACCAGTTAAAAAAAAAAGTAAAACTAGGAATCTTAAGACTGTGCTGTTCAAAGGACACTACTGAAATCTTAAGCTAGCAGCATCAAGATGGGAATATCTTGTGTTTTAGAGTCTGCATTAGATTTTGCAATCTGTAAATATTTGTTTTATAAATTTCATGGTATAAATTCCCAGCAAGAATAATTTTGGGTAATTTTGTACCTGAAGTTACAGAAAAGAAAATTTTCAAAGTGTTCTTTATAAACTAGTGTTTCTTTAATGTAGTGCCTATGACTGTGTGATACCACCCATGGAAAAGGCTGTAGTGAAAACAGACATTCAAATTGCACTTCCTGCTGGATGCTATGGTCGAGTAGGTGAGTAAACAGGTTATGAAAAAACTGCAGATTCATTGTAGAACAGATTTGACACCATCTTCACATTTAGATTCTGCCTAAAGCCTTCAGAATTAGTCTACACAAAAAGGAGGTCTCACGTGGCTGTGTGATTTATTAAGCCTTGCAATAGATGTTTCTTGTCAAATAGATTTGAGGTTTGGTGTATGTCTAATGACAAAAAGATGATTAGCAAAAATTTTCATAATCTGCATACAACTTTATAGGCTATGCAATATTCATTATTTATCTGCAGTTTCAAAATTCAAATTACAAAGACCAATAAGTAATGAACATAGAGAAAATACACCCCTGGATGTTTAAAAATGAACCCTGAAGTAAGAGCGCTATTGTAGTACAGTTTGACAACTTCTTGTGACAGAATACTTGAGAGAACCTGTATGAGATATTTTTGCGCATTCTTTTTCTGAATTATGTATAAATTCTTCAAGTAAAAAAATAAATAACCACTCTAGTGGAAGAGCATTATCAGAGTTTGCTGTGACCCTTCATCTAAAAGGAGAATGCATGTGTATTTCTCTTATCCCACTCAAAATTGTGAAGAGAGCTAACATTTTAGCACCTCATCAAATTAGGCCAAGGTAAGTAAAAAAAACCCCTGCGCATAATTTAATTTATCTGTGTATAATATTAGTAAATTGCTCGCCAAATACTGTCTGCTGTTGTAACTTGAATAGATTAACCTAATAGTCTTTTGAGATTATTCCAAACCAGTGGTAGCCACCAAAAATAAACCAAGATTAGACAGTCATTGTCTGCTCCAACTGCCTTACTGGAGAAACCTACTCTGCAATTGGTGGTCTAAACAAAGATATGCTTGTATCACTTAAAGATTGCAATTTTATTGTAGCCTGTAGCAGCTGTTATTTTGTTTAATATATACATTAACACTTACAGTAGTTCCTGTAAAACCATGTTTCTTTTAGACTGTGGAAGCAGTTCTTGCTTCCACAACTCTCTGCAAATGCACTATCTAATGTATAAATACTGTGTAAGAGTTTTAAAATAAATAAATTATTATACTTACAAAAAATTTCTTGTTTCTAGCACCGCGTTCTGGTTTAGCTGCAAAGCACTTCATAGATGTTGGCGGTAAGATTTTTGTTCTTTTTACTAAGACTTTGTAAAATCTTGCTTCATTGGTAGTCTGGCAAAAGGACATAACTGGGTAACAGAGAGCCAGTGCGTCAATTATTTTAAAACCTGCTGAATTATAAAAGTATTACTGATTTTTTAAAATAATAACTGTATTGTACTTTTGTAGGCAATGCCTGGCATAGATGTTATTTTTCAGTTTAGGCTTTAGAGATGACTTTCTACATTCTGCTTGCTCCATTTGACTAAAGACCTGCGTGTGATTCTTTTCAGTCTAGTCTAAGATCTGAAGGAGTTAAATCATTAACATACAGATATTCTTTTATGCAGAGAATATGTAGTAATTATATTCAAAAGGAATGATAGAAAGCACTGGAATACATCATTACTGTGGGTAGAATTTATTATTACGATCAAAAGAGCTTTAGTTTACTCTTACTGATGAAAATGTAACAAATCAGGAAAAGCAAATGAAATTTAAACTCGTAACTGTACATTAATTGACTTTTTGAAACAGAAATAAAACAAAATGCCACTTTCTACAGATATTTACTGGTTTTTTTTGTTAAGTACTATCAACAGATTTGTTCTGGACAGGGTGGTTTTGTAAAATATTTTGAGCTTTTCTTTAATCTTGATTAGAAATTCACAGATATCTCTTCAAAAACAATTATTGTAGGCATATCTGTAATCAGAAGCCTTCATGAAAGCCTCACTGTCCTTTTGCCGTATCTCTATAACTATGACATGAAGTAAATAATGTTGAAGGTTCAATTCCAGTTTTGCAACAGGGCTGATCAGAGCACAGACAGATTCTCCAAGTATGGTATTATAAAATGGAATCTATGTTGCACAGAGGTTCTCACCACTAAGATTATTGTGGATTTATTCTGAGCACAGCTGTAACCACAGCAATTTAATTAGCACTAAATATGTTACTACGTTGTTCTAATTGTACAAGAATACAGTTCTAAGTTAAATAAAATGTTTTCTGCCTCCTAAAGCCCTAAGCAGTTGGTTTTCCTGCCAATAGATTGTAGCAAAAGAACCAAACCCTACATTTCTGATGTAATGACCTAAAGAACTATTTTCAAAAGTGCTGGGTGGCTGAGAGAGAGAGCACATTTTTGCAAGCACATTATAATTTGAGTCATAATGGAAGTTGACAAGAAAAGTGTGCTGAAAAGTTGAGGCCTTTTCGCTAGGTTTTGCGGGGAGGGGAGGGGGGCAGTTAAGGGGGGGTTTCTCTTCAGTGTGTATCCCCAGTGTTAAACGAGAGGCTACTTAGAAATTGGTACTCAGCCTTTACTTTCTTAGAGGTTCGGCTCTAGGGGTGAGGAAGGGTGACTCTGGGCATCCTTCTCTTCCTGATGCCAAGCCAGCCAAAAAGCAAAGCAATTCCCAGTAAAATTTAGAGCTGCTGCAGAGCTACTTTATTCTGTCTGCTTTATGGCATACCAAAGTCTGGCTGCGCCTGTGATACAGTTCTGATACCAGAGGTTAAAGGGGAGCAGCTGTGCCAGCTTTGGGTCACTTGGGCTTTGTCTTAAATAAGAATTGATTCTTGCATGCCTGTTACACTAAGGTTTTTTAAGTGGTGCTGGGCAACATACAAAAGAGCACTAAGATGGGAATCAAAGATTCTCTACACCCCTATGACTCACGGTAGTATACGTGGGCTCCTATAGTGTGGGTCTTTAAAGTGACACTTCTAAAATAATTTTTTTGTTTATATGAGAAAGTACATATGCTCTGTAACAGTCTTTTCAATCTGAAAGTTAAACTAGAAAATACCAGAAGGGAACCAGAAGTGCTTAGCAGGATGACCTATGTTCAGATTTTAAAAAAGCTGACAGTTGACAAACCATGAGTAAAAGCTATTTCTGACAGATAGCAGAGGACTACTTCTTGAAAAAAACCAAAACAAAACAGTTGTTGCATAATTTTAACTTGTATTGCAGCAGTCCTTTTGTCACAATGAGGACATGATCCATTTAAGTAAAAATACATTGCCAGAAGTCCCAAGGGTCAGGAAGAAAAATTGGGATCATGCATGAATATGTTCAGAATTCACATCTGCTATGTGTGGATGCTTTCCCAACAAGTGATGTGCCAAACTTCTGACGGAGTAAGACAGAATGTCAGACTGCCAATTCCAATGCATGATTTTTCCAAAAATGACTTAGATGATTTCCACCCAATACACATAATTTAGAAAAGTGCCTTAATCCTCAGCAATGTATATAATTATTTCAACTTGCTGTTCCAGAATAACAGAATGCCAAGGATGTTAACGTGTTTTGCCATACGCAGTTATATAGAGTGAGTTTGTGGTCCTATACAGAAGGTCAAAACTGGTCAAATCTTCCTGGAACATATCTTCCAAGGATCATATATTATTTGATACAAATAGTGTAGTTTGAACTCAAAATCCACATGGTGGTTAAACTCAGTAAGACAATGTCAGTGGAAGTATAATAGATTTAAAGAGAAAGGGATTGGTAGGGAATTCATTTCACAAAATCTTTACCCAGCTGTGCCTTTAATGGAATTTGAAATTATCATGGCTTTGGCAGTGTTTCAATCACTCAGCACAGCATTAGACTAATTGTTTTGGCCACAGAATATTTTTAAATGTTATTTTCTTAATACATAACTTCAAGTCTAATTACAAGTTCTGTTTGTATTGGGTATGCTTTTAAGGAAGAAGCCTGCTCTTCTCTGCATCCTCTGGAAAGCTTTCATCCTCGGAAGCGTGCAGGAAGTGCAATTCTTGCCTCTTAGAAAATACATCCAATACAATCTCTAGAACCATTACAAGGTGTTTACTTTATAACTAAGCTTAGAAAATTAGGGTGTTTTAGTGAGAGGGGTTTTTCTCCCGTCTAGTAAATAATACGAGTGATTAAAGCTTTCAGTGTTGCTGACTTCAGTTCAGCCACAGAAATACTCATCAGTCTTTTCCATCTTATCAGACAGTTTTCAAATCGTAGAGATCCAGTCTCTAGCAGTAGTCAAATAGGTGATCAAAAGAATTTGGTATCTGTTCATAGAAGTACCTGTTTAAATTACACCCTTTTCAACAAATACTTATAAAATAAATTTTAGTCTCTATACATAAAGCTGAGATTGTGCTAATGCTATTGTTTAAAGGTCAGGGAAGACATCTGACTACATTAATTTGTAAATCAGTATAGATCCTTTATAATATCCCTTTGCAGCCAAAAAACAGGGTTGGGTTTTGAAAAAGGATAGAAGTACTCACATGCCATTAAGGTCCAGTTACCCCAATACAAACTTAAGGTTTAGATACTTTTTTTTTTTTCCTCTCCCAGAAAACAGCAGCAACATCTGATAGATCAAAAAGCTTCATTTGTGGTTAAGCACTAACCAATACATGAAGTACAACTTTTTTTTTTCATTACATAGAAATAAACTTGCTTTCTGTCAGAGATATGAAGGCCAAAAAGGTAATTTAGAATTACTTTAAGTAGCCCATGTTGTTCTGTTTTATAAATTTTCTTCGGGTAATTCCAGCAAAAAAGAGTTTCTTGCATGTATAAATCTAACCATAACTACTTTGATTGGTACATTTTATATATATAAAAGCATAATCTCCATCTAAATAGAATTAGTAATCTGTATTAATCAGTTCTGAGTATTGTGTTATAGCAGAGCAGAATACTGTATTATAACAGAAATAAAACTAGCACTTGTTATGGTAAATTAGCAAATTCCATTATCAATCCCTAATGCATAGTGGTATCTATCCCAGCATATAGTCTAGAAAAATGTTGTCTTAGCTGTACAGAAACACTTGAGAATGGTTTGTCAAATTAAGAATTTATCCAAAAAGCTAATGATCTTTTTATATGCATTTATGTACATAAGTACATAATTTTATGAGCCAAATATGAAATTCTGGCTTTCAGCTCTCCAGCTGATTGACTCATGTGAACAAGTACACCAAATTAATGGGCAACTGACTGCAGAACTTGAGTGGTGCTTAAAATTACTTGTGCTGCCATTACAAGTTTGTTGAATCTGTCTTTGTAATGCAACTGCATAGTAATGCATGGACTCAGTGTCCACTATTGTATAAAACAGAAAATTATTTGCGTAGCACTCTTTAGCTAATGCTTTGTGTCACCCTTGCTTTAGCAATTACGTAAGGGCTCTAGATTATCTGATAGTTTAAAAAGGAGGAAGGAATAGTACCTTGCTAGAAGTAAGAAGGCAAAATTTTCATGTTACGGTTTTATAGTTCAGCCTTTTTTGCTTATACACTTGACACATGTATAGGATTTGATTTTTAATATTTTAAGTATTGAATTGCAACACTGAACTGTGGTAGAAATTGTGCAAGAAAGCTCTGTGATCACCAATATAAGTGATGTATTGTGATTCTCAATTTAACTGATGCATAGTTGACTCTCTGCAAGATGGTCTAACCTAAACCAAATAAACAGTACAGGACCTGTACATGTAGCTTCAGTACATCAAGCTCTCCAACCCAACTGAACTGAATGCTACATTCAAGAATTTTTAATATTTTTTTTTTGTATTCTGGAGAACATTCATGCACAGCAACCCCTATGTTTTGTTCACTGTTACTTTTGACAGTGCCCTGTAATTAGGGTCCCTTTAAGCAATCGCATGGAGTTAAATACTAGTGAGTCAATTTGAGAACTGCATGCTTTTATGAATTTTCAGAACTGAGGGGATACTCCCAGTGTTACTAGCACCTTAATTGGAAAGTTGTTCAGAAATGTGCTTGGATTAACCCATAACATTACAAGGAAAAAAGAGCTGTATTCACACTAGAACGAGTGCAGAGATTGTACAGTAACTATGGACCATATGTACTGCAATATTTTCGCACAGCTGAGGGAACTAAGGGAAAAAACCCTCAGTTTTCTATTCTTCAGTGGTATAGTCATACTACAATTGTCTCTGATGTTTATAATCTCTAAAGGTAATACTTTGTATGAGTCTAGCTAGGAATGTCTTGGAATGGCATGTAGTTTTAGTATTTGAATTATTTGTGCAAGTAGACTTCAAAATACATACTTTGGTCCACAAGTAAGCCCAAGCTCCAGTTTTTGTACTGGAAATACACTTCCTGTATCTGAGAGAAAAATCCCAAAGAAGCAGAACATGATTATTTTAATGTGTATTGGTAGATAATCTTCTGAGCTATGAAGTTAATACAGTTATGTAAACTATAAGAGCCAGCTTGTTTTACAGTATTTACACCCAAATGTAGCCAAATGACAATCAATTCCTTAAAGCTTTAGTTCTGTTGCCCTGCCTGAGATACGGGATTTGGATCTGTGCAAATCCATAGTTCTCAAATAAAATGTTAGAGTTAAGAACAGATTTTTGCTTGACACTCAAAGAGCTGTAGTTAGCAGAACAAATGGAGCCTGAATTTGGTACAGCTGTCTTGATTTCACATGGGGTATTACAACTAAAATTAGTAATACAGTGGTAAAACACTTCTTGATATGTGATGGTGTATTGGGTTTGGGTGGCAAGGTTTTGGTAGCGGGGGGCTACAGGGGTCACTTCTGCAGGAAGCTGCCAGAAGCTTCCCCTGTGTCCGACAGCCAATGCCAGCCGGCTCCAAGAGGGACCTGCCAGTGGCCAAGGCCGAGCCCATCAGTGACAGTAGTAGTACCTCTGTGATAACATATTGAAGAAGGAAGGGGGGGGAGGGGGGAGGAAGTGCACATTTTGCAGCTGGAGAGAGGAGTGAGAATACATGAGAGGAACAGCTCTGCAGACACCACAGCCAGTGAAGAAGGAGGTGCACCAGAGGAGAGATTCCTCTGCAGCCCATGGTAAAGACCTATGGGGGTTAGAAGTGGAGCAGGTATCTACCTGCAGCCCAGGGAGGACCAGGGAGCAGGCGCATGCCCAAAGGAGGCTGTGACCCCATGGGAAGCCCGTGCTGGGAGCAAGCTCCTGGCAGGACCTGTGGACCCATGGAGAGAGGAGCCCAGACTGGAGCAGGTTTGCTGGCAGGACTTGTGACCCCACAGGGGACCCATGCTGGAACAGGCTGTTCCTGAAAGACTGCACCCTATGGAGAGGACAGACCCACGCTGGAGCAGTTCGTGAAGAACTGCAGCCCATGGGAAGCACTCACATTGGAGAAGTTCATGGAGGACTGTCTGCCGTGGGAGGGACCCCACAGTGGAGTAGGGAGGAGGAAGGAGTGGCAGAGCCAGCATGTGATGAACTGACTGCAACCCCCATTCCCTGTGCCACTGTGTGGGGAGGAGGTAGAGGAATCGGGAGTGGGCATCTCCCCTACGAGGAAAGGCTGAGAGAGTTGGGCTTGTTCAGCCTGAAGAAGAGAAGACTGAGAGGGGATCTCATCAACGCATACAAATATCTTAAGGGCGGAAGTCAAGAGGACGGAAGCAGTCTGTTTGCAGTGGTGTCCAGCGACAGGACTAGGGGCAATGGATGCAAACTGAAACACGAGAGGTTTCAGTTGAATATGAGGAAGAACTTCTTCACTCTGAGGGTGGCAGAGCACTGGAACAGGCTGCCCAGGGAGGTTGTGGAGTCTCCTTCTCTGGAGATATTCAAAGCCCGCCTGGATGAAGTCCTGTGTAGCATGCTCTAGGTGAGCCTGCTTTAGCAGGGGGGTTGGACTAGATGATCTCCTGAGGTCCCTTCCAACCCTTACGATTCTGTGATTCTGTGATTCTGTGATTCTGTAGGAGTGGGGGGAAGGTGTTTTAAGATTTAGGTTTTATTTCTCATTACCCTACTCTGATTTGATTGACAATAAATTAAGCTATTTTCCCCAAGTCAGGTCTGTTTTGCCCATGACTAATTGGTGAATGATCTCTCCCTGTCCTTATCTTGACCCACAAACTTTTCATTGTATTTTCTCTCCCCTCTCCAATTGAGGAGGGGAGTGAGAGAGTGGCTTTGGTGGGCACCTGGTATCCAGCCAGGGTCAACCCACCACAGATGGTGTTTTTTGAGTTCTTTTTGCAAGATTGATTAGCATTTTTAGATATTTCAAGTATTTTCATATATATAGTTTAATTGTGCATGAGGAATGTAAAGCATGTCAATATGAGATACTGCAATTGTCTACTAATCTAAACCTTATCTGCTTATACTGACAACATTTATTAACTGGATATCCCTCTTAATTCTTCCTTATGACAGCTGGTGTTATTGATGAGGATTACAGGGGAAATGTTGGTGTGGTACTCTTCAACTTTGGCAAGGAGACTTTTGAAGGTAAGCGTTAAGTTGGTGGAGCCTGTTTTCAGCTACCTGACTGGAAGTAAGAGACTAATTTTTCTTCAGAAGTCCAGGAAGAGTTAGAATTAGGCGAGAACATTTTTCTTCTTATAATTAACAAAAACATGGAAACTTAACAACATCCTTTCAAGGAAACACCCAAAGGTTACAATCCTAGCAAATTAGGTAGCAAACCCTGAAAAAACCCACACCGCCATGGCAAAACCAGAACAAACGAAAAATCCTGCTTAGCTAAGCTTTAGAGTCAATGAGCTGTACTGAAGTGCAACTTTGTATCAAGTCTCATTCTTGCTCAGAAAAAAAAAAATTACCTGAGCAGTATTTGAGATAAAAATTTCTCCAGAATCCTGGGAAACATAAATAATAAAGATACAATTTTCCCTTTATCATGCTGTCATTCTGCAGTCAGTCAGTTATAAGCCTCAGGACCCAGTTACAATATTGCCAGTGTTTTTGCAGCCTTTTGTGCAACTTCACAGTGCAAGCGTCTTGTAGAAGTTCTGTGAACAGATTGGGTAATCAGAAATTTTGTTTTCCTGTTATCAGTTCATGGTTTTTTTTCTCCCCAGAGAAATGAGTTCCTGGGTCGAGTTCACAAAAAAGAACCACATTATACATACATTGTACTTTACATTGGTGAGGCCGCACCTCAAATACTATGTTCAGTTTTGGGCCCCTCACTACAAGAAGGACATTAAGGTGCTGGAGCGTGTCCAGAGAAGGGCAGTGAAGCTTGTGAGGGGTCTGGAGCACAATTCTGATGAGGAGCATCTGAGAGAACTGGGGTTGTTTAGCCTGGAGAAGAGGAGGCTGAGGGGAGACCTTATCACCTGCTACAACTACCTGAACGGAAGGTGTAGCGAGGTGGGTATTGGTATCTTCGCCCAAGTAATAAGTGATGGGGGAGAGGAAACAGCCTCAGGTTGTGCCAGGGTAGGTTTACATTGGATATTAGGAAAAATTCCTTCACTGAAAGGGTTCTCAGGCACTGGAACAGGCTACCCAGGGAAGTGGTGAAGTCCCAATCCCTGGAGGTATTTAATAGACGGGTAGACAAGGTGCTTGGAGACATGGTTCAGTAGTGGAAAGGTATTGTTGGACTCAATGATCTTAAAGGTCTTTTCCAACCAAATGATTCTATGATACAGCTGTCTCTCCATCTCTGCAGTATTTATGAATAATGACACTCAAGATGCCCCAGTATGGCAGCAGGGATGGGGGGAGATACCTTGAGCTGGTACTGCTGCTGAAACTTCATCTGAAGAGGACTAAGCACAAGTTTATCTTGGCCTGTATTTTTGTGGGACTATTAACATCTGCTTAAATAAGTTTCAAGTAAATGTTTACACTTTAACACATTCTGATACTCTTGAAAGGGGATTGTCTAAAATTTATATTGATTGTTCACTTTTTTTGAAGGAACTAATAATACTTTAACTTCATTGCAGTTAAAAAAGGGGATAGGATCGCCCAGCTCATCTGTGAGCGCATTTGCTATCCTGAGCTAGAAGAAGTTCAAGTAAGTTGCCAGAAGAAAATATTTCTGCTGGTTTTAGTAATTAATAGTTTAAGATAGTTGTAGATAAGCTGAAACTTACAGTCTAGATAAATACTTAACTTTAAAACTACTTTCAGTGTTAAAACTGCATAGTAGCATTGGTACCCAAATAAAAATCTTGATGTTTTGCATGCATTTACATGGGGTTTTTTTAGTAGTTTTCAGAGTTAACAGGTACTTGAGAAACACTTCAGTATTATACTAGAAACAGTTGTCTTACAGTGTGGGATTTGTTTAAACTTGTACAGAAGGCATTCTAAAATGTCTCTTAAAAATGTTTTGGTTTAGTTTCTCAATTGTAGCTATTGTTACAAGTAAACATACCTTCCTCTTCGACAGACAGTATCTGTTGTACAGAAACAGAAGGCAAGTTCAGACACTAAACCAACTTATACTTGATGTCTTTCAGGTTCTAGATGATACAGAACGTGGCGAAGGTGGCTTTGGTTCTACTGGAAAGAACTGAAAGTGATTTGAATATGCTTTCTGTATTTTTTTATGCTGTTTCTAAATTTTTATTTGTATTAGAAGTGGGATTTTGCAGTGCATAAAAAAAAATCAAGTTTTATTTAAACTTCTCTGTCTCCATCCTGTCCATTTTTACAGGCAGTGAATTAATCTGCATTATGCAGAAATGTGCATGACTGACTGGATTGATTAGTTGATGGATTATTTTTCTTTTTAGATGTTCAGTTCTCAGTAATAAGAACTCTTTTTTATGTGCTGAGTATATTCTAATAAATTAAAAAAATGACAATGATTTGATTTTATTTTACTCACCTAAACTAAAATGGCTGATTGCTCCTGTTGTGGTTTAACCCCATACAGCAACTAAGCACCACACAGCTGCTCACTCACTCCCCAGATAAATTAACTCTATCCCAGCTGAAACCAGGACAGTTTGCTTGCCAGTTTGTGTTAATCTTCTGAAAACTATCTTCCATGTAGCTTGGCATTTCATGCTGAGAGCCTATTTCATACAGAATCAGTGATAACACAGGTATTCACATGACTTCTCACTCTGACCCCTAAATCAGAATAAGGCAAAGATATTTAATATTGCATCTTCTACAACTTGTCAAAACGCTTGTGTTTCTGTTCAAAGCTAAAGTTCTGTCTTTGAGCCTTACATGATCCTCGAACAGCCAATTTTTCAGCTCTCTATCAACAGTGTTTGAACTAAAAACACAACTCATCTGGAAATAGCTTCGATGTAGTAAATAAATGCTACAAAACGTGCTATTGAAATATTTGTTGACAAATTCATGAATAAGTTACTGTGTGGAAGAAAGATTCTGAATTATTGAGGCAGTGCACAAACTGGGTTTTTTCAGTTCTATTTTGACCAGTTAACATAGAAGTCTTTTGGAATCTGTCCCGAACCTGACTGTTTTAAGTGTGTGTGAATCTCTTAAATGACTCAAAAGCTTTCAGGTTGAAAGAACATGCAAACAAGAGAAGGGACAAAAAGGAAAGAGTCTTGAGTATTTTTCACTTTACTGAAAAGAATTAGAAAAGGCTGTGATGCTCTCAAACATTTTTTTTTTTCCCCCTGCAGGTAGGCCCTTTTGTAGACTAAGATGTCCACAGCATTCTTCTCTTCAGTAGTCTCAGGTCCTCTTGGTATTAGTTTCATGTCCTTGTCTAGGACTAACCATTTCCAGTGAAGTAGGCCCAAAATATTGTATGTTTTATATATTTTAGCCCCCCCTTTCCCAAGGAGCTGGAAAATGAAGTGTAATAAAACAGCATTCAGACTCCTTCAACCGTAGGATAATCATGACATTGACTTGGCAGTGCTGAAACAGTAAGTGCATTCATCTTTTGACTAGGGTAGAAGCTTTACCTCCATGTGCATTATATGCTTATCAGTCTTTTTTTTTTTCCCCCCCCTACACCTTTATGACTACATTATACTTCCATCCGTATACCCAGACCTTCATAAGCAGGCTTACTGTGCAAAAGCCTATTGTAAGCAAGAAGCACATCATACCAATGAAGTTCTGAACAAATTGGAAAAGCTGATCTCAACATGAAGGTTCTTCCATTCTATAACCTGCCAAAAAGGAACTTCAGTTACCAAAGGCTATTTAAAGATTTTAAAATAACTATGACGCTTTCGTGTAAAGCTGTTTCCTCTTGTTGGACTGTAATTTGAGAGCAAGTTTTGCTGCTCCTCCCCTCCCCCCAAAGCAAAAAGCCAGCAGGGGATACACTGATCTAAGTCCTTCTTAAAAGATACTACAAGATGTTCTCACTTGGAACAGCAACCCAGAAGGAAAAAGTTCAAGCTTTGTTGATACTCACAATTTATTGTACCTGTCAGAATTTCCATTTTTGAAAGTAATACTAATACTCCAGATTCTGAGATAAGGAGGAATAGTATTTGCTAAAAAAAGCACTGTCTCAGAAGCTCTCTCGGACACACGAGGAAGAAAAATTTACAGGTTTGTGCCTACTGTAAGTTGTCTACATACAGACTGTTATCCAAGTGTCATTACCAAGAAGAGCTCACTAATTTTGAAAATTGGCATAGTCGAGTTCCTTTTCATCATTTCTCAATACTTACCTAGAGAAGCATGTAATGAGTGTAAGATTACTGAAAGGCTCTTCCCAGTAGGACCTTGGAAAAGTTTGTCTATCTGAAACAACAGAAATGTTTTCTAGCTTTGAAGCTCATTCTACACTGAGCTCCTCCCAGTGCATCAAACCACTGTGCTAGGGTAACAAATTCTGACAATCGTTTCATAGTGTTGGGAGTTTTGCTTCAATACCAATAGCAAGTTGGTGGAAGACAAATACTTCTGACCAGGCAACAAGAGTTACATACCAGCGTACTGAAAGTTCTTGAGCTAATATTTGGGACTGCAGACCAAGGCCTGTATTGAAACCTGTAGAAGCTTTTTGTATTGGTAGCAAGTAGAGAATTCTTATAACAGTATTTGCTGCTTTCCGGTTCAAACCATGCTGCATACATCTCTTCTCTCCCCCCGCCCCCTTTTTTTTTTTAAAGACAGTCTTACAGTTTCATTAATATGAAAAGCAATACCCTCCAAATTATTCTAATGTTGCCTTTTCCCATTAATATTACCTATGCAACAAAAGTATTTTACCTTAGTGTCTGGCAAACATACACAGGAGGCACAGAACAGCATCTGTTGTAGAAGCCAGGTTTTAACTTCCCCTGGCTCTTGTACAACTCACCCTCTCCCTATAAGCAAGGGGAAGACAACAGACCAGGACTTCTTCAGCAAGGTTTAAATTTCCCTCTATAATGTACATATTAATCTTTAATTAGCACATTTGATCCTGTTTTAAACAAACATCAGAATGTGTAAGACATTTTATATGAGCAAAAGGAAGAGAGGATTGGGAAACACATTAATCTTGTTCATTACTTTATCTGAGATCTAACCTTCTGCCTAAATTCACTAGTTGTAAATTATTTTTGTAATTAAATGAAAAACTGGCTGTGTCATTGACTGAACAATATGCTTGAGCAAGTAACCTCATGAGAAGCTAGACACTAACATGCATAGGTCTTACTTCTGTCTGGACGGATTTGTATCTCCAGAACCTGTCACTGAGGTGTTATCCCCAGAGCTCAATATAGGTGTGAAAGTGAAGAGGTGTAAAGCTCCAAATCAAGTCCAAAGTGTAATGGTATTTGCCAAAAAAAAAAAAAAAAAAAGAAAATTACATTAAATCAAAATATTTTATGTTGGGCTGTTCTCCATTTTCACTGAACAGGTTTGGACAAAGTTTAGGCTGTCAACTCCTGTTGTAGAAGGGATAGGTTATCTCCAAGAGGAGTTACCTAGACCTTGGGGAATGATCTTGTGGAACATCCTCTCTGTAAATGGAACATGGAGCTTTTACAATGGAAAATAATTTGTTGGGAATTCTCATCTATAGCAGAAAATGGCTTTTTCCTGCAGGGAAAAGAAAAGGTATTTAACTAATAGTCTGCCTCCTTTCTTTTAGAAATGGATTTGACTTTTGGTGTAGAGAAAATCTGGCCTTCAACCCTAGATGAATTTGGAGGAGAATGCTAACTTTTGAAATCACATGTTTGACTCCAGACGTACCCAGGTGGTGTGGGTTCTATTTTGAGATCTGAAAGGGTTCTGTTTGCTAATTGGGACTGAAATACATATGACAACTTGTATTTCTTTACCAAGGCAGAAGCTGATAAGCTGCTGAGTGTCTTGAAGGAACAGGTGATCACTAGACAATTCCCACCGTATGAACCCTCAACTTACAGACAAAAATCTTAGGATAAAAATTATGGTAATGATACCATTGATCTTTAGTCCTTTTCTTGGTTCCCCCAAGTATTAACCAGGTCTTTAGCAGTTGTGAAGCTGGTTCCTCAGTTCAGCTACAGTTATACTACTCTGTGACATGTTAAAGAGGTTTTTTGGATCTATTCAACATTTTTTAGTAGATCAGCCACTAGATGGCACTTAAAGTTTGCTTTCTTTTCCACTTTTTTTCCAGAGGTATTTTTCAAAGATCTGTTCATCCATAATTAAGAGTTGATGACTCCCATTGGGACTATGTTGGCAGAAAGCAAGATGCAGCAACATTTGAGTGAAAGCAGGCAAAATTATAACCATTAAAGGGGGAACAATAACTATAATTTAAATAAGATTTGGGTGGTTGCAGTGTTTGCATAATCCCTCCTGGCATGCAAGAGCAGTAGAGAAGCCTGTGGCTTTGCTCTCCTGCTGTGTTTCAACAAAAATGGAAAATTGTAATGAACAGCAACATTTTTCCTATCTTTCATATTCCCTCTCTTCTTACGCCCCCTTCCTCCATTCCTTTAAGTGGAATGCAGTCTACCTAAGGATTGCATTGTAATGAAAGTCATGTATAGCTTGGTAAACTCTGCGCTGGATTCTTCAAATCAGACGTCTCTTGCTACAAGTTCAGGACATAAATTAAAACTTACTCAATATGTGTTAACCCAGTAGAGGCAGGTGACATAGTAACCTGAATTATGTGAATTTTTTTTAATGTTCCCTAGTTTCTGTATCAGTTGCTACTCCTGTAATAGCACAGTCTGGTGCTCTTGCATTTGTCTTCCCTCCCTCCCCCTCTTCTAATTTTTTTTTTTTTTTTAAAAAACATAACTATCATCGTATTTTGGCTTAAAGATGGTTAAATAACTTTCGGTATTAAGTAAACTTCTATGACCCTGCCTATTTCCTGTCCTGTCAAACCTTTCCTTGTAAGAATAACAGTGTCCTTTTATTTGGTGGAGTGTAGCATGATGTTTTTGGCAGGCCCAACATTTTTGACTTGCATAAATTTGTGACCTCGAGTGCAAGAAAAGTGAATGCTTGCTTCAGTGCCTCATGGTTTCTGCCTAAAAAGAAAAGTGTCCACATCACTAACCATTACAATTTCTGAAGGAAAATTATCAGCACACTTATTCCACCTGATTGCACATGACTGCACTTCCAAAGAAAAGAATGAGAAATAAAAATAAGTATTTTGCACCTAGTTATGTAAGGTACCAAAAGT